TCATAAACATACAAATATCAAAAGAGAAAGCTAAAAAAATAGAAATGCCCTTTAACAGAAAAAACTGACTTCAAAGAAAAGAGACAAGAATAGTCGTGTCATAAAAAGGCAAGAATCAAATTGCTCAGAAGTCCTATTTAAACATTTAATTGTGCTGACTATAAAAATGATACACTTTTACATATAAATACTAGGAACAAAACTACAGGACTTTTCTGGGTCATCCATACTCATTACTAAAAATTTGGTCAATTAATCTCTAAAAGTTTCATAATTAAGTGTTAACATTTTTAGAAGTATGCTTTATCGAGCTAACAAAACTCATTTCTAATTTGTTAATATACATAGTGAATTTTATAGAAAGCCCTTTCTAGATCCATGAGGATCATAAAGTGCTTCTTAAACATGATTATGTGGTATCTTATACTAACAGATTTCCTGTAGTTGTCATCCTTGAATGTCAACAATAAACATTACCTAGTCATTTTTGTGTGTGTGTGTCTGTGAGACGGAGTTTCGCTCGTGTCGGCCAGGCTGCAGTGCATTGGCTCAATCTAGGCTCACTGCAACCTGTGCCTCCTGGGTTCAAGCAATTCTCCTGCCTCAGCCTCCCGAGTAGCTGGGATTACAGGCGCACACGACCACATCCAGCTAGTTTTTGTATTTTCAGTAGAGACGGGGTTTTGCCAAGGCCAGGCTAGTATTAAACTCCTGACCTCAGGTGATCTGCCTGCCTCGGCCTCCCAAAGTGCTGGGATTACAGGCGTGAGTCACTGTGCCTAGTTATGTTTTTGTGGTTTTGTTTTTAATAAACCACTGAATTCTAGTTTCTGATACTTTATGACTTTTGCATCTATGTTTATAAGAGAGTGGTATAAACTTGTCTTTTGCTATCCTTGTTTAATTGTGGTATAAAAAGTGTTCTTTATTAGAGTTAAAGAAACTAAAGGTTAGTACTGGGTTTTTTTCTAATTCATATTAAAAACAATACAGATTCCAATGGACTGGTGGAAACAAAGAAAAAATGATACTGAAATGAACATCAGAAATCTGACAATATTCTGATTATTTCCTTAGGATGAAAGATCAAAAATATGATTACATGGTCAGAGTACCACCTTAGGAAAGTCCTTTTAATTTGTGCTTATGGAAATAAATTTTGCATTCCTATACATTTATGTATAATCAGTATTATAATAGCCATTTTAGACCCCATAGTCCTTACTTTTAACTTTACAGAACTCCACCCCTTACTTATAACTTTACAGAATGTTTAACACTTCAAAGTCCCTTACTTTTAACTTTACAGAACTCCATCCCCACTGCAATTTCAATTTTGCTTTATTGTGGATAATAATATATTGACAGCTTTTTCCTTATGTCTGATTCAACTGCCATTCTGACTTCATGACCAAGTGGTCTCCCATTCCTCGAACTCAAAAATGCTTGAGATGAAAAAGCTTCCTGAAATTTTTTATTATTTAGCTCACTGCAGCTTTTATTGAGGTTAAGCTCTACCTATAAATTACTCTGTGTCACCATAGAAAATGGTGGGAAGGAAGCAACAGTGACATATCTATAACTAGAGCTTCTAAACTGCCAGAGGCAACAAGAGTAATGAGATGAAGGGAGTGGGAGGTACACAAAGCCAGGACTATGTTTCTGTCCTAACTTTAACCCCACTCTAATATTAAGGAGCTGAGAGTAGAGAGGAGGAACTGTTCAGTAAACATTTCAACAGAAAACATTTGCCATTTCTTAAAATTAAGCAATTTGTTTCCTGTTCTTCATTAGTTGAACTGAGTTGTATTTTTTGGCTTATAAAACTATAAAGGCACTTTATTAACATTTTATTTGAAATTCTGAGTAAACGTGCTTACAAATCCATTGTGTATCACATTTTGAATAATTCTGTTTAAGCTAAGGTTTAGATTTATCCATAACAGACCTTTTTCCATGCCGCTTCCCATCTTTTACACTCTACATATAAATGAGCTCCCTGAATTCCAACTAAATTTCTTACATTTAAGAATATTTAGCTGTTAAGAAATGACTAATAATGTGACACAATTTAATTGTTCTACTACTAAAAATAAGCTTTATAAAATATATGGCACCAAGCTACAGTGTATAAAAAGTTAAAATTTTTTTGATAGACCATGATAAACAACAAATCTCCATTTTTGCAACATCTAAAAAAACCACCAAATTAGGCAAATTTCTACGCTTCAAGGAAACTTTAATAGTGAAAAACAAGATAATGGAGAACTATCACTTCAACTTCATTAATCAGGTGAAAGGGCAGAAAAAAATGTTTTTAATGATGAAGCAGCTCTAGAATATGAGCTCTCAGAGATCTCTATCTCCATAAGAGGCTGTAAAAAGAATGGGAAATAAGGAAAAGAGCTATGACTAAGGTTACCTCCTCCACAGGTTAAATACCAGCAATGGCCAATTTTAGTACTGTTGTACCTCCCTAAAAGATTAGACTCTCTCAGGCTCTGCTCTGTGGATAACCTCACTGCAATGGCAACTTGAGCCTTATTGAAGTTGTGCAAAAACATGGCTCTATCTCTGCCTGTATCACACAGCTCCCTTCGATCAAGTGATACCGGTCTCCTGGCCTCCATTCTTGACAGCCTCATAAGGAGTTTTCTCACTGCAACCCACGTTGCACTTCAAATTAATCTGACTTCTGAGCCTTCAGACCCTAAGGCACTTAATGGCCCCAATCTCACCAGTCACCCTCAGGTTAAGTGTGAACTCTGGCACAGCATGCAGTGACACCTTACTACCTACACACACTCTGGCCATTTGCTATCCCTTACTTTAAACTCTAAGGACACCCAACTTGTTTGGAACACTTCACCAATCCTCCCCAACCTGCCAATCTCCACACCACCACACCACATGTGATGAAACAGGCTTCTCCTAATTCCTCCTCTACCCTGCTCAACTCAAAAGCACCAGTATTCCTCCAGAAGGAAACTTTCCACAAGCCTCCTCTGGATATAGCCCAAAGCATACTTCTTTTATAACATCTACCAAGCCTTATGAAACCATCTTTTTCTTTTTTTTAAGTTTATCTCCCTTACTAGAAAGTAAGTAGTTTAAAAGCAAACACTGTATCTTAACTCCAGTGAGGAGGAGCACACCAGGCACGTAGTGGGCATATGATAAATGGTTACCTAACTGAAATCCCACACACTACACAATGAAGAATGAAATACAGCTTGACTTCTCAGCCCGTTCACCAGGAAGCCCTCAGTTCCACTTCTAAAACCCAGGCCAAATCTGTTTACTTCGTGTGCTAGCACAGCCACCACGCCAGTCCAGTCTCTTATCACCTTGCATTTAGATTCCTCACAGTCTCCTCATTTTCCTGCTTCCATCTACCCTACTACACACATACCACTCTTCAGCAGCCAGAAAAATCTTTGTAAAAATGTGTAAGATCCTCTTTAAAATCCATCAGAATAAATTTACTTGCATCCTGTTATATTTAGACTAACATTCAAACTCTCACCACACCCTAGGATGCCCTCCATAAGCTTTGGGCAAGTCTTGTCCTCCATCTACACAGGGCTCCTTTTAAATACTCTAATACAAGAAGCTCACCTCAGTGTCTTCACCCTGGCTCTTCCCTCTGCCTAGAAGACTTCCCTCAGTTGGCTGCTGCTTCTCGAAGCTCTGCGCAAGCATCACAATCCAACCCAAAGGAGCTTTTTAATTCTTCATTCTATCATATCACTGCATTTGGTTGTCTTCTTTGCACTCATTACCATATCAAATTATAATTAATTTGTTTACTTGTTTATTGTGTATTTCTATCCCTTAGGAAGGCAGGAGTTTTGTGTTTTGTTAGTCACTGTATCCCCCATATGTCTAGAAACAGTGCCTCTACACAGCAAACACTCAATAAGCATTTGTAAAACAAATGAACAAACCAAAAAAAGCAACCTTTAAGATATACATAAAACAAGTAAGGGAAAGAAATGGATGGTCTACCAAACAAGGCAAGAAACATTCTGCTGTTAGTATTTGTAACCAGACAGGGTGTACTGGTGTTACTGGGATCTGTTATCTACGAGCATCAAAAGTGTACTTCTCAAAGTTCAAAGTCAAATAGAATGGTTTCACATGCTATATGCTAGCCCACGTTATGACACTGCAAACAATCATTTTAGAGAATTCTAACATTTCTTAACACTCCCCCCAAAACCTGTAATGTACACAAGTAGTAAAACATATTTTAAAACATGTGCCACTTTATTAAAAAGCAATACTTATGACAGTGGTACTTATCTGTAAATGATTAAATTTATCCTCAGAAAACTTCAGACTTTTAAAGTAACAGGTCCTCCTAACCTAAGAGGCAGGTCTTTAAGACAGGTTCTGACTAATGCCTACCACATACAAGAAGCCACCTAACACACTATTCTTTCTTGGAAGTAATGCTGCAACGCAAAGAAAAACGATATAAAATTCTAACACACTATTCTTTCTTGGAAGTAATGCTGCAACGCAAAGAAAAACGATACAAAATTCTAACACACTATTCTTTCTTGGAAGTAACGCTGCAACGCAAAGAAAAACCATATAAAATTCATTAAAAAGTGAGCAGCCTCTTTTCACCTCTGACTGATGAACGTTTTGACTAACGGAGGAGAAAACTATAGGCTGCTACTATGTTAGTGATAGAAAAAGCTTCAATTCTTTATTCAAGTATCATTCAATCACAGAAATAAGGAAAACATACAAATTTAGGCAATGAAGATAATAAATCTAAGTATCTTATTTAGCTTGATTAAACCTTCTCACTATTCAAGAAAATAATTTATAAAACAAGTCAGCTAGTAAAAACAATTTATACAAGGTTAAAAACAGTCGTATTTTAATCATCACTTTTTACAGGCAACTTGAAAGGAACACAAATTCAGTAACTTTCCTTCAGATTCCTTGACACAATTTGATCAAACTTGGGATCTAACAAAACTTACCTTGGTATGGTAACACATTTAGTATTACAGTTTTGCGTGGTGATGGCTTTCTCAAGCTCATCTAATCGTCCTGTTTTCTTAAGCTTCTTCACCAGACTTTTCACTGCTTTCTCACACCACTTTTCTTCCTGCCCATTCTGCTCTCCTCCGCCTGCTCCTCCAGACCCACCAGCTGACTTCTTCCATCCCAGCAGTCTCTTCACAACTGGCGGAGTGAATGGCAAGATGGACGACATGTTCTTACCAAAGGCAGCAAGCCACGCTAGGAAAACAGCCTCTTGTATCGAACCTAGCAAAGATATCGAAAGGATAATGTAGAGACTAACTTGAGCATCAAACATCAAGTAATAATTTCAACTTATCATAGAAAGCAAACTGCAAAACGAGACAGAAATTCAAATTATGACTTTCCCAACAGACTTCTCCACCCATGAAAATGTTATCTTTATGAATTTAAATGAATTATGGAAACAAACTCTTCTAAAAACAAGAATGTTATAAGAACGCCTCTTGTGGGAAAATACAGTAATTTTGCAAGTAAAATCAGATACTTTTAACGATTTTTCACTACCAATACTATTTTAAACTCTTAATAGTGTCAATTAAAATATTTTCACAAAAAAAGGTTTTCTCACTTTTTAGAACTTCAATCTACTCTCAAAAGACTATACAAAAATACATTGAAAATTTGTAAGCCCACTCTCCCCCAGGTTTTAAACTTTCATAACTATCAGGAGGCAAAATCTACAGTTACAAGAAGGGAAAAATGCATCAAGTGTGAAGTAATCAAGAATAAAGAAAAAACCATGGCAAACAGAGTCTGTGGAGAAAAGGTGTTGTCTGGTTTCACCCGCCCTTGAGAGAAATTTTTTAACACATATTTTTTTCATTTTCATCTAAATAACAATTTGCATAGTGAGTAAAGTCAGATCATTTCTCTTCCCAATTTAAGGAATTGTACCTTGTCTTTTCTCTTCCATAGGAATTATTTTTATTAAGCTGTTTTGTCTATTCAGTGTCATTTTACAAATATAAACATGTGTACACACAGTTACCCACATTCCCACCACCTTATTCCTGTACAAAAGTAGCATAATAATCCTTGATTTTGTATATCTTGAATTTTTTTTTTTGCTTAATTCTCTGTAGGTCATTCCTTATCAGTTCACAGAGAATTTAGAAAGCACCATCCCCTCAATTTTCTAGACTCCACTACTAATACTGATAAGTACTACGTAACTTTTATTCCTGATCCTTTAATTGGGGTTTAAAAACTTTTTTGCTCCAAAAGCTCTTAATATCTCCTCTGTGATTCTGAAACTTCATAATGTTCTAAGAGGGTATGCAGTGTTTATTCTTTTTCTGATCAACTGTTCTGAGCACTTAATTGATACTACAATTCTAAGAGTTTTATTTTTTATTATTTCTTTAATTATTTTCTTCCCTATTTTCCCTGTAGTCTCTCATGGAACTTAAGACTTCAGCCTTACTAGTATTGCTCTATCAGTTAAGACATTTCTACATGTGATTCACATTCCAAGATCTGGGTAACCTCTCCTTTTACTGCTGTTTCCTTTCTCATGCCTTAGCTCTTACGCTTTTCTTTTCTTTCCTTTGCCTTCAATTTTAGTGAGATGTAGGATAAAGGAAAACACGTGTTCAATTTGTCATATTTAATGAAGTTCCCAAAAGCATCCTTTTTAGAAAGTAAAGAGGTCTCTAGTCTTCACATCACACACCCCAAATACTGAAATTTTAGTTTTCAAAGTGTATCTTTATGAAAACAATGATGCTTACATTTTCATTAGTTTGTTCCTTAATAATCATAATGATCAGACAATAGTTTTTAAACTCACTTTGCACGTATTTTTAACGTTAAAGAAAATCCTAACACAAGATGCAAATTTACTTCCCATCAAAGAACTGGCTAATTTTCACAGATTATATGCTAAGATTCATTTCCAATGTACACAAACTGCATTCCTGCTCTAAACTCTCCATAATTCCATTATTTTGGTTTGTACCACATGGAAGAATAATTTTTTTTTAAATACTCCCTCTTCTCAGGATGGTCAATGACTAGTGAAGAAGACTGCCATGATCAAAATACACATGACAAATAAGAGAAATTGCAATGGGAATTACAGGTACACAAAGAAACACCACCTAACTTTGCATTAGGTGTCAGGAAAGCTTTTCCTGAGGAAACATTTGCACTTCCTTGGCAGCTTGCCATTTATTCATTCCTTCTTGCATTCAACAATTTTCTTTTACTCTTCTTTTTTTTTTGGCCCATCTATTGTGCCTGTATTTACCTGTTTATTCTCAAATCCTACCTATGTTATTCATCTGCAGACTACACTTTTGAGCTGGGATGGATAGAAGAAGAGAAACCCTTTGTAGCAAGGTATTGGCAGTGGGGAATGGAGAAGGGGTAAATTTCTAAGGGCAGAGAGATCAACCAGCAGAGAATTGCAATACACAAAAGGAAAGAATAGATAATTAGGGAGATAGAAGGAACAGAGTTGATAAAGAAAAAGTTACAAATTACAGGTTCTTGCTTGAAAAACCAGTTGAATGAAAATACAATTGGCCAAAATATGAAGTATTTGGGGAACATAAGTGTTGTGTTAGTCAAGCTACATTTGCTGTGACTATGAAACTCCAGGAGGTGCCCAATAAGCAGGTAGAAACAAAGGTCTGAGGCTTAGCACAGAGATCAAATTGGTCACGTGGTAATGAAATGCTGGTATATGGGAGAGCTCAGAAACTGCCAAGTTAAGTGAAAAAAAATTCTAAAAAATACATATAAAGGAGTTACCAAACGGAGGAAAAATGTGGATGATTAGGGAGAAAGGTGTCATGAATGCAAAGGACAATTTATAGCAATACAACATGATAACCCAACTTTTAAGTGCCAACGCTAGGATATGAATCAAGCAGCATGATGCCAGAGAACAAGTACTTAATTGTGTCAATATACTGTGTTGCACATAACAATCTGGAGCTAATCTGGAGACCTATATAGAGCCATTAAAGGCTGAGCTCTTTATACAATCAACGGAGCTATCTGTGCCTGACAAATTAGTCCATTAGACAGCATTAGAATAACACATTTAGCTCCAACTCCTTTCTCAACCTACAAATCATTTAACTAGTCTTTCAGTCTCCATCTTCTTTGATGCAAACAGCTTTCTAAAATGCATACTGCATGTCACCCTACTACTAAAAATCCTTCAATATTTGCAAAAAATAATAGTAAAATGACTTAATATGCTTTAAGAACACACAGTGTAATGCTTCAAAGAACAGATTCTGAAGCCAGTTGGCCAAGTTCAAATCCCAAGGATGACACTTACTAGCTGCATGGCAACCTCTATACACCTCAGTTTTCTCAGCTGTAAAACAGGGATAACAGTACCTATCTTAAAGCCAATATAACAACCTCTATAAAAATGTAATATGAGCCACATATGTACTTTAAGTTTTCTAGTGACATTTTTAAAAGTAAAAGGAAACAGGTGGCATTTTAATGATGTATTTAACCCAAAATATCCAAAATGCCATCGTTTCAACATGCAATCAATATAAAAAAAATTTTCATACTAAGTTTATAAAATCTGTTGAGTACTTTACACTTACAGGACAACTCAACTAGGACTAGCCACATTTCAACTACTCAATAGTGACACAAAGCTGTTGCCTACCCATATTGAATGGTCCAGCCCTAACTACTCAAAATTTCTGCCTACTCTCCCTATCCCATATTCTCTATAAACTGTTCATAAACACCTCTATTTAACAACTGTAGGATCCGTAGTAATGTGACATTTTTCGTTCCTAATATTTAAATTTATGTTCTCTCTCCCCCTCCCCATCCTCTTTTGATCAGTTTTGCTAAGTGGTCAATTACATTCATCTTTTCAAAGAACCAACTTTTTCTTAGCTTTGTCAATTTTCTCTATGTAGGAATTACTTTCTATTCACTAATTTCTGCTCTTGTCTTCATTATTTCCTTACTTCTACTGTCTTTAGGTTTGATTTCCTATTCCTTTTCTACCTCCTTAAAAAAGCTTTCTTTTCCAATGCATAGATTTAAGGCTATAAATTTCATCTTAGCATTTCAGCAGCAGCATTCCAGATCATTGTAGTTCATCTTCATTTTCAATCAGTTTAAAATATTTTCTAATAGCCATCATAATTTCTTCTTTGAGCCATATGTTCTTCATAAGCATAGTATTTTATTTCCAGGTAGCTGGGAATTTTCTAGTTATTTTTTGTTATTTTTATTTACTATAATACAAACAACATATTCAATTATTAAAATCAATGATATTTGTTGAGGCTTTGTTTATGGCCCCAGATTATGGTCAATTCTAATACAATTTCCATGTGCAAGGGAAAAGATGGTTAATACCAACATTAATAGTTTCAATGTTCTACATATGACAATTAGATCAAGCCTGCTAATTGTGATGTATGTACGTCCTATATACCTGCATCCACTGTGATGGCATATTTGTCTGTTTCTTTCAGTTCAAAATAAAATTTTTGGTTTATAGATGTCCGGGCTGTTTTACTGGGTACAGATTAAGGATTGTGATAACTCTGGTGGATCAATCCGCTTACACTATAAAATGTAGTTCTCTTTTTCTACTAGTGTTTATTGTATTAAAGTCTCCTTTGCCTGATTAGTACAGCCACACTTATTTCCTTCAGTTAGCATTTGGATGGTATATCCTTTCCCATCATTTTCTCTCAATCTTTCTAGGTACTTATATTTAGGTAATTATTATTTGTCCAGTCTGATAATTTTTGCCATTTACTTGGAATATTTAGCTCATTTCCATGTAATGTAATTGCTAATTAGTTGTCTGCTTGTTTTATATTTTCTTTCTTGTCTTTTGAATTTATCACATATTCTATATCCAATTTTTGTCTGTATTCATTTGTTACATTCTTTTCTTTTAGTGGTTACCCTAGATACTTCCTTATTCATCCTTCACTTAACACAATTTCATAAATATACTTTTACTACTTCCTCTATAATGCCAGAATCATAGAACGCTGCTGAGAAGCAGTTTTGCTATGAACGAGACTACCTCTGGTTTGTCCCTGTTCCTAGGATGAGACTCTGCTGAGCTTTTATTTCAAAAGCTAGTAGATGCTTATCTTCAAGGTACCTAGATACTATTAGAATTGCTTTGTTTTAAAGAGATTTCTGGTTTAGCTCTCTAGCCTAAGCAGCTTCAGAATTTAGCAAATGTCTATGGGGAAGAAACTGGGTGT